ATATCCTTAATTCATCTAATTAATGAAGAAAACACTACACCAAGGACAGAACAAATGAATAAAACAGACTTTAACACACGAACAGTAATTAGGCAAGATGCGTTTGCAGGTTCTGGTTTGGATGGATGTAATGTCTGATGGTGAAAAAACCACATCCTTTTCCAGGGTTCTCAGACTGTACTCTTGACTTCATTTTACAGATGGCAGGAGTCATCCTGGGCCTAGATGACAGTTCTCAGCAGGCTCTTATCAGAAACCCAGGAAATGCATGTAAGACCGACTCAATGTCTCATTTATCCTAAAGTAGTATCAGAATCACCCTGGAGCTTCTTGAGACCATGAACCATTGTCCCCTAGCAGGTTGTCAACCTTGTGCTGCAGGAGGGCTCCGGCTGTCCAGGTCACTATGACGTGTCCCTCTCACTCTGCTGCTCCTGATGTGTGGGAGCTTGCGCCTTATAACCTTGCTTAGCAGTCCAGGTGTGCTGTTCTCACCTGTTCTGTCTTCACAACTCTTGGCGTGTCCCGCCTCCTTTTAACCTCGGAGCTAGAGGCCCTTAGGTGGCCCTCAGAGGTGCCAGCTGAATAAGACACTCCATTCTACTCAGGAAACTTTTCTTGGCCACTCTGTCCCATGGAAACCACCAATCTAGCCTTTTTTTAGGACTGAAAGTCACTTTCTACTTATTATCTGCTCAGATTCGTCTTCCAAATAATCTCCTCCAGGAAAAAGAGTAGGGTAATAGCACCCAGTCCAATATGCGCTGGGATGGGAGGCAAGACAACTGTGTCCAATCAAGTCTAGTAACTCTGCTGTGACGTTTTAGGGAAAGTTCAGGCACAAGAAGATCAGGGTGATGAAAAGTTTGGGAAAAATCCATTACAAGATGAGATGGAGTATCACAGGCTGATTCATCTAAAAATTATTTAAAGTCCCTATAAACCTATAAGATAGGAAGAAATATTTGCTCCTTCCATTACTGTCAAGATATCGGCCTCTCCCCACTTCAGCTGAGGAAATGACTTCTGCTGTGTATTTTCTTTACCATTAAAGTTCCTGTGATTTTTGGTTATTCAATGTCATTTGCCCGTACCAGTTCAGATCTAATTTCACTTTTAATACACAGGCCAGTTCATTGACCTAAGAATAATTTTTGGGAAGCATGATATGTGCCAGCACACATTTGAAGGCTACTGAACAAAAAGCATTTCTTATGTATGCCATGGAATATTATATAGCCCTGAGAAAGAAGGACATCCTGCCATTTGTGACAACATGGATGGGCCTAGAGGGCATTATGTTAAGTGAGATAAGTAAGAGAAAGACAAACACTGTGTGAGCTCCCTTATATGTGGAATCTAAAAAAGCCAAACTCATAGAAACAAAGAGTAGGATGGTGATCACCAGAGCCTGGGGGCAGGGGAATTGGGAAGGTGCTGGTTAGAGGGTACAAACCTGTGGTTACAAGATGAGTAAGTTCTAGAGATTTAATGTGTGGCATAATGATTATAGTCAACAATGCTGTATTATATATGTCAAAACTGTTTAGACTATATCTTAAATGTTCTCACTACAGAAGGAATGATAATTACATGACATGACAGAAGTGTTGCCTAACACTATGGTGGTAATCACATTGCAATATATAAATGTATCAAATCCACAAGTTGACACCTCAGATTGATATATTGTTATATGTCAATTATATCGCAACCAAAAAAAGAGCATTTCTTAGCTACATGCAAAACACATACATCAGCCTTTGATCATGCAAGCTTTCAGCTTAAACCTCTCAACTTAATAAAACTAGGGTATAAGTCAAATATTAAGTTAACTAGCAAATGATAGGCACTATTATCTATTCTGAGAGGGAGGTGGGTGCCCAGCTGTGGAGGGTCTCCTAGGTCATATTAAGGATTTCATTATTTTTCCTTATGAAAGAGTTTAGGCAGAGGAGTCTCAGAATCTAATTTGGGTTTTGAAAGATTACCAGCTGCAGGATTGAGGATGAATTCAAGATGATGGAGAGTGGACTAGGGAGACCACTTGTTCTCAGAATAAATATTAATTGAGTATGTGGAAGTATACACACACACACACACATACATATATAACTATCAGACTATAATCTACCTATTAAATACGTGCACATTATACATGCAGTTGTCTTGTACCCCAAAGGAGCTCTAGCAGCACAGAGGGCCAGCTCAGCCTGCCCTCATGGTACAGTCAGACTTACCTTCTTCCCACCCTCAGGCAGGAATTGTGTTTGGCCCTTGTTTGGTGGACAGCTTCCTTCTTGGGCTGTGTCCTTCTGGTGGGTAAGCTGTCCCACTAGCCTGTCCCATTCCAGACCCTGCAGGAATCCAGGCTAACCCTGATGAGGGCACAAGTGCACTAGTAGCTCAAGTGCCCGTGGCCATATGGGAAACAGCTGGGAAGGCACCCCTTTGCTTCTCTCCAGCATCAGCGGTGATGCTGCTTCTCCCTGTCTGACCTTGGTTTACGGTGCAGTTTCTGAGGGCTCCTCTGCCCTGGCCTGGCCTTCGAGGCCCACAGGAGCCTGGGATGCATCAGCAGAAAGCACTAATTCTGGCTCTGTCTTCCCAAGTAGGATGAAACAGGGCAAATCCACGCCTTCCCAATTTGCACAGACCAGCAGAGGAACTAAAGCACAAAGAATCCACCAAATGTGACAGTAAAATGCTGTCACAGGTTTTCAATTTGTGAGGATACCTGCTTCATAGAATGAAGGAAATTTTCATTTTCCTGAGTATGTGCTGCCTTCCGAAGGTGAAAGAAGCAGATGGCCGTGTTTATCATCATCATCATGAAACATGGGCATTTTTCTGAGTCCCCCTGCTCTGCAGACCATGCTTTGAAGTGCTTGACAATATGCCCTGGTCTCACTGCCCATCTCTCCAGGGCTCAGCTTGTTGTTGCCTGGCCAGGCTGTCCTTGAACTTCACACAGGTGCTTGTCCAGGTGGTTCTTAGCCACAGGCATTTCCATTTGATGCCTTGCTGGGCTCCGATGGCCCAAGGAGCTTCTGCCTGGCTTGTTTAGGGTTCTGGTGTTTGCCTATCTTTGACAACAAGTCTCTGTGCTCAACATTACCAAGATTCTGGAGGCAAAACTTAAAATGTAATGCTGAACTTGGAATGTGAACCTGACACAGATGAATCACCTGGGCTTAAGCTACTCCTGGGAACTAGTAGCCCATGGGGAGGAAACAAGCCCCGTTACCTTTAGCTACCTTCAGCGACTGGTAACCTTTGTGCTTTGATGCTTACTAAGGCTAACTTAAAATTTGTAGGTATTTAAGTTATATTTTAATGCTTTGGAAGTTTAAACAATGTGAGGGAGAGCAGTTCTGAGCGGCAGAGTCTCACGTGAGGAGTTGGACATGGTCATACCAGTAGGCGGTGGCCCATTCCTCCTCTTCCAGGCTGGAGCTACAGGTGTGCCAAGATACCCATGCCCTCAGCCCTGGGGTGGTTTGTGGGGCCTGGGGTCACCTTTGGCCAAAACCTGCCTTATCAAGTCACCCTGGCATGCTGCCCAGAGAGTTGTACCTCCTCCATGTGGCCTGCCATGAAGACAGGTCACACACAGGGCTCCAGGCTGAGCAGGTAAATGTGGCCAGTTCCCATGATCAGGACCTCCCCATGCCCCCGATCAGGACCTCTCCATGCCCCCAGCCGAGTGATGACCCCTCTAAGCTGGATTTCCCATCCCTCCCTCCGAGCTTTCAGCTCCTGCTGGCATCTGCCTGGGACCTTCCAGTAGGCAATTCCCTCCACATGCTGAGTGCTGAGCAGCTTGGATCACTGCCCACCATTCTGTCTGTGTCTCCAAGAACAGGTGTGCTCTGAGTTCTGGGATCCACATGCTTCGGCACAACAACTGCTTTTCAGGTGCTACAATTTGGAACACCTCAGACGTTTAGAAAGGTAACTTGGGAATATGTTTCTAGTAACAGCAAGCTTGACTGGCCCAGACTATTCCATGAAAAAGGAAACATTTCTTTTCCTGGCTTCTTGCCATACCTGATAGGGAACTGGGTCAGCTGGACTGTCTCCAGCCCAGTGGAACCTCTCACTGTCAGCATCCTAAGGGTAAGTAACGGTCTCATCCAGGCTGCATTTACAGCAAATTCTTGCTTTGATTATCACCACCCCACCCCTCCAAAGTATTAATAAATTTGTTTGCTTAATATGTTTTTCATGCTTTGTATAAAGAACAATATAAGTTTGGAACCAGGATAAATCTTAGCCAAGTTCCTAAAGCACCACTGGGTGAATTGAGCCAGTCCCTGGGGGTTAGGGACTCACCCCAGGCCACCTATGCATTTACTGTTCCCCGGGGGTGTCCCTCTCATGCAGCAGCCCCACACAAGCTTGGCACAAACATCTCCCTGGCAGGATTTGTAAATTCAAGCTTTATATTTTAAATTCAGACAGAAGTGATGGATCAATGTCCCATTTGTGTTTAAGTATCTTTTCTTTAGAGAGTTTTTGAGACAGTGTATTAAAGGATTTTGGATCTTTATTGCAAACATCTCTGCAGGGGTGGGGGAAGAAATCAATTTGAAAAACAATAGACTCTAGGCTGTGTTTGCCATGCAGACAAACTGCTGGCTCTTCCTTCACCAGCCTCCCCTGCACCCCCTGTCCTTTCCCATAACTGCAATTTGTCCACCCCATATTGTTCAAGACACTGCAAATATTTCCCTTTCCCAGTAACCATATGAGGTAGCAATTATTATTCCCATTTTACAGATGAGGAAACTGAGGTTCTCAATGGTTAAGTAACTTGCCCCAAATCACAGAGTTTTGTGAATGGTGGAATTCTATCTATCTGTTTCCACTTAAGGTTGGTGAAGATATACCTTTGTTCCTCAGCACCCTGTTAAAGTCATAGGCCCAGGGACGCCCCCATCCCATCGTCTCTGCTTTACACATAGAACCTGAGTGGGTCACACCAAACCCTTGCCTACCTGCAGAACTCTCCTTCCGATTCTGGCAGCAGGAGTGAGGCCACAGGGTTCTTCATGAGGTCAGCCACTGCAGGGTCTTTGGGTGTGACGTAGAAGAAAGGAATCCCCGTGCTGTTGTTCAAGGGGCCATCACTGATGGGCAGGCAGTTCCCAAATGGCAGCCCGGGGATCTAACAAACAACAAAAAGGCTTTTTCAATACTGTGGATCGACCTGAGCTGCAACTGAGCTTGCTTCTGGCCAGGAAATACAGAAATGAAGGAAGCATGGCGTCACCATGGTTTTGAGAGGTAGTAAATTGAGGTACAGTGGTCCCCAACAGACCCCATTCATCCATGGTTGGCTCTGGAATTTCTATAGAGGAACTTAGCAGTGGCATTTTACTTGGAAGGGATGGTTGGGGAATTACTCTTGAAGCTGCATTTACATAGAAAACACCCATTTTGTTAAATTTAACATTATTTTGGAGAGAGGTCCTAAAATATTTCCTACACACTGCTTCTGGGAGCCCTTCTGCTTTTACTGACTCTCCCAAGTTTTTAGAAACCTTGGGGATAGATTTTAAGTCTCAAATATCTTCATGGTCTTGGGATTCCAGAAACTTTCTATTACTGTTTCTTTTAGAGCTACACTACTTTCTCAATCATTAGTCACATTTTTAATTGCAATCAATATTTCATTATACATAATTCAGAAACTTATGGGAAACTGGCTTCTTACCCTCTTTTAGCTTAAAGGAAGTCATAGAGACATGCTATACTAATTTTTGCTCATAATTATCTGGAAGAGCAGATGGAATTCTCAGACATTTACACAAATATTTCTTGGGTTTTCCCAAGTCCTGCTGGGTCCAGCCCCAGCCTCCATGAGCTTTACCCTTCACTCTTCTGCATTATTAATGAACTCAGAACTCTGCGTGTCTTTTAAGTATTGCATGACAATGGTGTGTAGAATGGTAATAAGGGAAGGCTTTAATCTTTTAAGAAAACACAATGCGAAGGAGTACTCCAAAAGGCAATACAAGTTCCGTCACAGATTATCAGCTTGTCATAACATGCTCTGCACACATGATGTGCATGTGATAAATGTTCTCTGAATTTATTGGATTTGGATTGTTAATATTGGAAGAGAGAACTCCTAACAGAGATGTCAAAAGTCAAAATATCTTTAGTACACTAGCACTAGACTTTCAATTGCTTGGGATGACTTGTGTTTTATGCCAAGATTGGCTTCATATTTAAGGTTCACATCTTAAGGTGTGTCTTAGGAAGATAATATATAACTGAGAAACCATTTGGATGCTGTGAAAGAGGTTAATATCATTGCCATAATCAGAATAAAGTTGTCATGCAGATCATTTTTTAAGCAAAAAAAAAAGACCTTCAGAACTACCTAGTCAACCGTTTAATTTCATAGATGAGGAAAACAAGTGGAGGACCCAGTGAGGGCCAGTCTTGGAGCCGCTGAGACTCACAACTGGGGTGAGAAGCTGCCCCCTGGCCAATGACCTATACATTCCATAAAATATTATTATTATTTTGCATGAATTAAATAGGAATTCAAATTAGTGCCTTGTAACAAAACTCTCACATTGATCTTAACAGCCCTAAAGTCTCGCTAGCATGCATATACTTATAGATGTTCCATCCTCCCAATTACTCATGTCATTTCGGCTTAAGGTGGAATCGTGTCTAACAGGTGTGAAACATTTGTGAACTGAACGATAAAAACTGCAGCTGGTAACAGCTCGTTCCACACTTTGCACAGTAAGCCTCTTTTGCAGAAAAACTCCTGAGTTCCATTTTCTTAAAAGTAGATTTCCACCAAAGTCCCAGCGGCGTCTTTCTCCGGTCCGGCCTCAACTAAGCGTCAATAGGCGCCCGGGAAGTTCGGGTCTCTGGGCAGTGTGGGGGCCGGAAGGGGCTGCTCGCGCCCACTCTGTGATGCCTAAAGCGGCTCGGGCTTTGGTCCAGATCTCTGGAAAGGCGCAGGTTATCCGAACGTCCCTTTGATCACCTGAAAACTGCGCTTCGGTACTCATGTATCTACCTGGCAGGAAGCCTGGTTGTCAGCCCCCACGCTCCAACACTTTGCCAGCTAACTGAGGCACAATCTGGCTCCGTTCTTACCCGGTGTCCACAGCCCAATCCAGCCCACCGCGCACGTCTGTTAGACCTGGATCCGAGTACGAATGGGTGGTCGCTAGCCTCTCCCTGTCCTCGGGGCGCGCCAGGCCACCGCCAGGCGTGCACCTGCGCCCGGCTCCCAGCTGGGGTGCTTACCTTCTCGTGGGCAGACACGGTGGCCAGACAGCCCCAGGGGCTGGCGTGGGCCAGGAAGCGGGCGGTGCCGGGGCGCAGCCTCGGGCCGCTCTCGCGCGGGTAGGAGAACATCCCCGGCGGCGCGGGACGCGGCCTGGAGCGGGCAGCGCCCGCTGGGGGCGGCAGGTGTGCGGCCTCCTTGTGCGCCGAGTCCGGGAAGCTCTGCTGCCAGATGCTGCCCGCGTCCTCCAGCAGCGCGGGCAGCGCCTCCTCGGTGGAGGCGCTGTCCAGGTCCTCGTCCACCTCGTTGGTGACGGCCCAGGACACGGAGCTCACGATCACGTATCCCGCGGCCGGGGACAGCAGCGCGCTGCAGCACAGCAGCCAGGAGAGGCGGGCCCCGGGTCGCGCCGGCCGCCGGCCACGGCGCACAGGCATCTTGCAGGCGGCGCGCGCGGCCCCGGGGACCACCAGCGGAGTGCGGCGGCCGACGAGGCGGCAGCGCCCCCCTGCGGCCGACGCTGGGAGCGGGCCCCCGCTTCCGACCGCCGCAGGGCCCCTGGGTGGTGTCGTCCTGGCAGCGCACGCCGCGAGAAGCCGAGGCTCCTTAAAGACCCGGTTCCACTCAAACGAGGCACGTCCTGCAGCCGCCGTGTATACAGTCCTCACCGCCGTGTGCCACGTTCGGGTGGGCTTGCGTCCAGAAGGTGGGCGTTCAGATCCCGGCTCAATACGTTCTTCCACTCACCAGCTGGGTGACCCCACCAAATTACTTAACCTCTCTGTGTGCCAGTACCTTCATTGGGAAACGAAGAAAACAGTATCTAACTCATAGGAGTGGTGGGTGGGAGGGCTGAATGAGTTAAAATTTGGAGAGGCTTAGAACAGCGCACGGCAAGGAGTAAGACAAAGCCTTCCATTTTCATAATACACAAAGGTGGGGATTGTTAATCATTATTTTATAGAGGAGGAAACTGTGAAGGTAAGATTAGCACCAGGTCCGTCTGATGGCAAAGCCCATTCTCTTGCTCTGTAAAGATGAGCGTCTTACACTTTGCTAGGGCAGGAGGACATTGCAGCCATTTCATCTGAAAGCAGAATTAAGTTTTTATGTATAAACTCTTGTAAACGGGGAATATGCCCAGGATGCAGTGGCAGAGAATTGTAAGAATGTACCTCAGTTTTAAAGCATTCTTTTATTGATGGGAGTTTGGGTTGTTTCCAATAGTAGAGTTTTATAGCTATCAACATAATTTAAGATTACTTACACATTTCAACTTTGCATATGGTATCCATAGCTGGCCTACTAGACTAGGGGACATTTTAGGCACCATATTTTCTAACTAGAAACTAACAGTCCTGCTTCAGATCAGTTGTGGATGATGACAGTAAAGTGAACTAGCCCAAGGATTTTTAAAGATACTTTGGCAAACGTTACCTTGTGCAGTAACCTGAGGATCCATTGGTACCCTCACTCCACCCACCTCCTCCCTTGCCTTCCATTCAAAGCCATTTTTACTAAGAAAGTCTATTTCATCTCAACGCACTCCTAGCCGGCCTCCATCCCACCCCAACCGCCTTTCCAGGATGAGCTCTCTCTAGCCTTCTTCTTACTGGAGACCCCTGCAGCCTTCAACATAGCCAGCCCCCTCCTCCCCGGACTCTCTCATTGCCAAGCAGGCTGCACTTCCTCAGTCTCCTTTGTAGAGCCAGTTCTCTGTCCTCTGCATATTGATGTTCTAAGGGGAATTCTGTCTCCAGGCTTTTCTTCTCTCACCTGTTCCCATGGCCCTGCCATCCTTTTAGGCTGCCATGTGTCTCTCTGTCTCTCACTTGCTTCCAGAATGATGTGTTGCATAGTCTTGGAGAGGCAGTATAGAAAGTCATTAAAAAAGTGGGCTCTAGAATCAAATGAATCCAAATCTTGCTCTATCCCCTACTAGCTGTGTCTGCAAAATAGTCACATCTACCCGCAGTAGCCCAAGTGGATCACAGAGCACACATACCAGAGATGTGCCCAGAGAGGCACAAACTGTGGCAGGCTAATGTTTAGTCTGCACGTAGCATAAAATTCAGCCCTTTCAGTTTTGGACTTGATGTCAACATAACCTTCCAAAGTCCCTGCTCCTCCTGCATTTATCACCTCTGAGTATGGCATCAGCATCCCTATGGAGCTGGTCACAGAAACAAGGTGTCACCTCGCCTCATGTTTGGAACAGATGTAATCTCACCTGCCCAGTAATCATTCCCCAGGACCTGATGTCTCTGACATGTTTAATTTCTTATTATCTGTTCATTTCTTTCCATGATTTTCCCCTACGATTGTCGCTCAATCCCTTATAGTTTCTCAGTGGATTGCTCATCATTCCCTTGCTTTAAGGCCTCAAGGGCTTCTCACTGCCAGCAGAGGTCCAAGCTTCTAAGCCCAACCTACAGGACCCTTGTAACCTGGTCCCGGCTTTCTGTCTCCAGCCTCACTGTGACCCCTCCCTCCCAGACTCCCTGCTGAAGTGATGCTGGCCTCTCTGTGTCTCCACAGATGGCGAACACACATATATCCACCATGTAGATAATGCAATGAACATTTTGTTGGATTTGCATGGTCACTATCTATATATCTATCCCTCTATCCATTCATCAATGTGCATGATGATAATTTTAAAATATTTTGACTGTGAGGTAGGACATTCGCATAAAATGTGTAAAATACATATGTACAACTTAAAGAATCATTAAACAGAAAACCGGTGTGAAGATCATTCAGGTGAAGAAAGGAAATAGTGGTAGTTCTTCAGAACCTATCTCCATACACACCCCCATCACAACCCCTGGACTCCTCTCCTAGAAGTAATTACAATCTTGACATTTGTGAGACATTTCTGTTTTGCTTTATAGTTTTACTTCCTATGTGTGCATCCTTAAGTAATAAAGATAATTTGGAACTTGATAAAAATGAAATCATACTGTGTTTTTTTGTGTCTTTCCATTTTCAGTCAAAATCGTGTTTGGGAGCACCATCCTTGTTTCATTGTTTGTGGATATAAAACAGCTGTGTAGCATTGCACTGTGTAGCTGTATGACTATTTACTCAACTCTCCTAGGGTCTGTGGATGTTAATAGGTTTTATTATCAGACATGGTGAGGCCAACAGATCAAGAGACCACTGCCTTTGAAAAAGGAATTTATTCTACTCACAGATCCCAAGAGAGGGCATACATGGCATGCCACGGGGCAGAGGGGTGGGGGTGGTTCCTGGGGGGGCCCTGGTGTCAGACGGGAAGGGGCTATCTGTAGGCAGGGGCCTTTCTTGTGGTTTCTGTGGGGAGGAGCAGGAGGGATGGTGGAGCAGGTTTGGGATTGGCTACTCTGAGTAATTTCAGGGTCTGGCGCCTAAGGCTGGCTTTGGTTGTCTGATCCTGGTGTGGGGTGGTAGGGCAGGCAAAGAGTGGCCTGGAGTGTGAAAGCCGATACAGGAAGTGGTGGGGGGTTGTGCTCTGGATCAGCTGCTTCTTGTGGCAAAATACACCCCTAGGAGTTGGACTCCAGTGGGGAGGGACAGAGAGGCAGAGGCCATGGTATACAATCAAGTTGTCCAGTACAGGGCATATCTGGCATAAGCAAGGAGGGCAGGTGTTAAAGCATCACATTTACAGAAAGTAGAAACATGGCTGTAACAAAGGACAACTGGGTTTTGAGGTTCTGGCCATTATGAAGAGCTCTGCTGTGAACTGTCTTTTACTGGTTTGTTGGCATCATTTAGGCCCTGTCTTCCTTCCTCTCAGCTCGTGTTTTCTCCAGGCGCTGCTGTGCTGACTAGCTGCATGTGGGGGCAGACTGACAGCAGCTCACCAGCTCTACCGTGCATGCCTTGCTTTCTGCCTCAGGGCCTCTGTGCCAGCTGCTGTGTGAGCCATCTGTGGGTCTGCCCTCAGCCATGTGAAAACCTAGGTGTACAGAACAGTAGCACCCACTGGGAAACCCTTTGACCACTGCGGGCAGGAGCCAGAACAGAAGTACTTTCTACTCCTGTCTTGCCAATGGGTTTCAGCCCCAGGCAAGTTCACTATGTATTCAATGTGACCAAAGAAATTGACAGCAAAACGTTCTTTGGGGTGAAAGGGTTTATTACCTGGCTTATTCTCCCTGTGGCAGGTCGAGCACTAGCGTCTCTGCCCCCACTCAGAGCACTGGGCTGAGCTCTCTACATAGCACAATAATAGCTTATTGCCTAAAGGTGTGGAAATGGTAGCCTAGCAACAGGCCAGTTATATCATCAGGTGGTTTAAGTTCAGAGGCCTTTGGAACCCCAACTTTCTCACACTCCACCCCTCCAGGATTCTCGCCTTACAATCTACACACTTTCAATCTTCCGCAATGGTCCCTGTGCGAGAAAGCTGGAGCACTGTAACCAGATTCCACAATAGCAACAAAGGATATCTGAGGGGACAGCTGCTAAGCACCCACCTGCAGCTCTGCCTGTACCTCAGCGGGTGACAAATATTAAGCAGTATAAATTGCCAGGGGGGCATAAGGAAATTGGAGGAACTCTACAAGAGTTGGAGAGGGCGGGCATCATAAAGCCCACTCATAGTCCTTTTAATTCCCCAGTGTGGCCAGTGAGAAAGCCAGATGGCTCCTGGAGTATGACTAGACTACAGGGTACTGAATAAAGTCACACCCCCTTTGCATGCTGCAGTCCCCTCTATAGCAGACGTTCTGGACAACCTCAGCCATGAACTGGGAACGTATCATTATGTAGTAGACCTTGCTAATGCTTTCTTCTCTGTTGACATAGTGGAGGAAAGTCAGGAACAGTTTGCCTTCATGTGGGAAGGCCAGCAGTGGACATTCACTGTCCTTCCACAGGGATACCTCCACAGTCCCACCATTTGTGAAGTTCCCAATTTCTTACCTTTTAATAATGCTGTATTTCAGCTTTGGTCCTCCAACTTACATTTAGCCTTAGGTTTTTAGGATTGGCACCCACTAGGAACCAAAGATTTTAAGTAACAAACCTGAATCTCTTTTTTTCCCCCATTTGCTTATTTTACTTCAAAAATTTCTCAGAAAATAAAGAATAAAAATAAAGCATATGTATTAGACAGAAGTCACCTGTGTTTCCCTTCATATCAGTTTGAAGAAGCTCTTTGTATATTACAAATATCATTTCACATTTTTCAGGTATGTTGTATATTTAAATTTTTTATTGTGCTATTCTTATGAATTTTTAGAGAAATTTACATCTTATTTTGCATATTTTCAAAAAAAACTGCAATAATAGTTGCACTTGGCATGTTACCTGGTAACTAAAAATTATTAACAATGTTATTGTAAATATGCCTAAAACATGGCATGTTCATGCTTATTTAACTGAAAACAGTCTGTTTTCTTGATGTCTCAGATTTATGATTCTGAACATCAGCTTTTACTCTGTGCTATACTGTAGCATTGCTCTTAGA